AAACTTTTTTTTCTATGTACTTCAAGCAAGTGTTTTTTATTTTTTTAAAGAATAAATAAAAGGTAATAATAACGATGTATATATAAAAGCGTATATGTGTACATATGTTTTTATTTTTTTTTTTTGTTAAAAGTTGTAGTTGACGCTTCACCGACAATTACCACATTCAAGTAGCTTTACATCAGATTGGCAATATCAAACATTTCGTCGATGAACCCAACTAATAACATATCTATTGACTATGATGACTATTTATTTTCCTATATGTGCACCTTTTTTCTTCTTCATCTCATTTTTTTTTTTTTTTTTTAATTAACAATTATTAATGATGACATTTGAATATTTTGTAGACAAAGATGAGTTTTAGTTCAACGTGTAACAATTGCAGTTACAATTACCGTCACCAACTTTTAGTTCTCTATTTTGCATATATATTATCAAAACAAATACACTTTTATAAAAATAGATTAAAATTAGCTATAATTGTTAATTGGTTTACTAAGCGTTTGCTATGTAAGATTTAAAGATTTGTTATTATTGCTGTTGCTTGTTTATTATCATTGTTTTTATTTAATATTATTTGTGCGATTTGTTGCCAATAGTCATTTATTAGACTTATCTAAATTATATGTCAAAAGAAGACGATGACAATGATAGTTATAATGTTGCTGCTGCTGCAGGCTGAAGAAAAAGAAGAAGAAGAAGAAGAAGAAGAAAACAGAAGATTGAATAAAAGGTATATAGATGTGGGAATTGTTAAGTTTTATCAGATCAGCGGTGATGACGATGAATCATCGTCTTTGTGGATGAATGGATGAAACAGATATTCTATTTTAGTGCTTCCGCCAGCGGAGAACACAATTGGAGAGGTCGCCTTAGTAACGATGACTTTAAAACAAACTTATCAGAGCAATTAATACCTTTTTTTTTTTAAATGATCTTTGCTATTTTGTAGCTTCTTCTAAATCAGAAAAAAAAAAGCATTTTTTTAATTGACTTTTTAATATTGCTATTTTTCTATTCCACTTTATCTTTTACTTGAAAAAAAAAAAAAAAAAATATGTGCCGCTATTAAATCACTTAACCTGAAAGTTTTCTACGTTTATCTAATTGTGTGCGTTTGTTTCATATGCCTGTTTTTTTTTTT